TGTGCTGGAAAAACCATTTAGTTCTCAAGAAATGGTTCTCTGTGTGTTCATACCTAGAGTATCCGGACTCAACCATGAAAACCTTTGAAACGTAAATTTTGTTAGCCTTTAAAACCCTGGAATGAGATGCAAATTTTGTTGTAAAAAACTAAATTACGAATGAGCCGTTTCCGGCTTTTGGTTCCACAAACCATTCATTAATGACTATAAAACAATTTATTTTTATTGATTCTTGATAGGCCTACTAACATTAGTAACTTTATATCTCACAATGAAATCGCGAACCATTGTGCCCAATTGCCCAATTCAATTTTATAATATAAAATTTTACTTAATTTTCGACTGTATTTTTCATAAACGTGAGTCTTAGAATTTATTCTATTTATATAAATATATTCTATTTTATATTTGAATATAAAATTTTACTTAATTTTCAACTGTATTTTTCATTAACTACATTCTAAGACTCACGTTTCTGAAAAATAAAGTTGAAAATAAAATTCTAACATTTAAACGGTAATAGAGATTTCTTAAATATTTTTATTTTTAAAGATTCCTAATCTGCAAATTTCATATGCATTTATTTTTATTTTACTTCTACAATTTTATTCAATTGTATTTTATAAGTTTTTTACTTTGATTTAGAATTAAAATACTAATTTATCACCGACAACTACTATTAGCATTACTTTTCATTCAGGAGTCTAAATGCTTCGGACAATAAGACCTACACACTAAAGTTTTCTCTATATCTCTGAGCAACCACTTAAATTCAACATATTAATATTAACCAAGGAAAATATTTATAAAAAATTGATGCTATGGTAAATACTAAATTTATAGGCTGCTCCATTCGCTGAGCAGCGACTCGCCTAATCGCAAGTCTTGTAGATAGGTGTTTGTCTATTTGGCCAGCAGGAAACATTCGTATTCGTCTTTTCCCGTTTGTTGTCAGTATTCTTGCACACATAAAGTAAACAAATATTTTCTATTCCCAATACAGAATAAAAACAAACAGTTGCTCTGAAAACAACACATGTGTGTGTGGGCGCCTACTCTTCAATCGGATAATAGCTAGACAACTAAATTGCCAAACGTCAAATATTTCATGCTTGGCAACTGGCGCATGTTTGGAGCTGCCTTAATAGAACAGACTTGACTGCATGAATATGGTTCAGAGTTTTAAATTATAATGTAAGATTTTCCAAAACTTTTGTAAACTAATTTCATGCAGCCTACACCAAGTATTAACTTGATTTAATGGAAAGATATTTAATGTAACTTTGTAAGGGTTTTAGGCTCAGATTCAATGTTCTAACACTCAAGTTTTCCTCCCGATGCCTCATGTTGTGTGTTGTTGCAGCCTGAAATGATCGGCCACTACCTCGGGGAGTTCAGTGTCACGTACAAACCTGTCAAGCACGGTAGACCCGGTATTGGTGCCACTCACAGTTCAAGGTTTATTCCTCTCAAATAAACCAAATGTTTTATATCTTAATAAAATGTTTTAAAAACTATCCAGTTTTTTGGATTTTTCATACTTTTCCTTCCCAAAACAACCTTTCTGACAAGACAACTTCTAAATATAAAAATAGTCTTTAGTACACAATGAATGTTTTGGTAAACAATGGATGCAGAACCATAATAATAAAATTCATAATACATCGTGCCAAAATTACCTTACCAAATACCATATTGAATGTAAGTGTTTATTTATTAATATTTTAGTAATGAAAGAAATTAATTTTGTTTACCTGTTTGGAAGGTGACATCGAAAGATGTTAACAGGTCGATTATAAGGCATAGCTGTAAGATTAAGCAGCAATATAAGTTATTGTGTGTCTTAGTACAGTAGGTAGTGAAAAAGTCTAAATCAAGTGTAATAACTGTCAATACAACTCTACTCAGTCTGGTGGCTGCTCAGAGTCTATTCTTTAAGGTCTGTTATGCAAAAGAGGTTCTCATCGGTTTCTGACCAGGAACCTGAGACGCTAGTCTAAAATACACCATCTGGTCAGTTGATCTGTTGAATGTAAATTTGAATGTCTTAATTCAAGAACAGCAGGGGTCCAGAATGTCGCAATGTGTTACGAGATTGTAGTGGCATTCGCACGTCAGTTCCAAATGACGTCACATTACGCTCCTAATCCAATTACTTTTATAACTGCTTGGGAACAAGTTGCACACAAAGAAAACCTAGTATTAGGAACGTTAGTACCTCTTCTATACCTCATTAGCCGAAATGGATGGAATCTACTTCAAGTTTTTCTGCCCTTAAATGTTGATTATGAAATGAAACTGTTCTAAACTAACCTACTAAACAAACTTGTTGTAACATTCAAAATTCTGTTTGATAGCAGAATTCTGAAATGAATCTGTTCTAATGTAGCCTAACCAAACTTTCTGTAACATTTCAAAAATTCCTTTTGATAGCAGAAATGGCTTTTGCGCTCCATCGACTGTTGTAGAACGTTCAATCCTTACCTGAATATGCTCACCTTTTTTTGAAATAAATTATTTTAACGCTTCAATATAGCAAAAAGTTAAATTAACCTCCATCTTCACCGAAATTTAATGTGAGTGAGTAATTAAAAATTGCTTCTAGAAAAAAGTAACCTTTACATTATTTTGCAATACTGGAATTAGGACTGGAACGGGAATGGGTTGTGACGTCATTTTGACGTGTGAATAATCACTTTTGGTTACAATTACAAGATCAACATACTATATAACATACTATCAACATACTAATATAACATGATAATTAGACCAATTCGTATATACCAAGGCAAAAATGTGGTTCGGATTCCACTATAAACTGTAGGTCCCTTTAGGCTTGCCATTAGCTGTATGGGCTATTAATTAACAGCTGTGTCTAAGGAATATGTCGGCCTTAGTCAATAACAAGACTACAAGATCGCGCCACTCATCCTACACTCATCTCCATTCATACTTAGATAAAATATACCTACTTTGTATGGTCGCCATTTCATTGAAAAGTATTAAAGTATTAAAAAAAGTATACTTCTACCTTCTTTTCTCATTTTACAAATACATCTTAAGCAGCATCACTTTTGCTTTAACATTTAAAGAATCTTCCTTTAAATGTTTTGCTGTGGATACTGCTTGTTTTTTTGGCGCCTCTGTCCACAACTTAAATGGGAATTAACTCATTATCCATCCATCCATCCACTGGCTCACAAAGCAATCCAAAAATCTTATTTGTCATGTAGAGAATTAATGTCCATTGCCTATTATCATCATAAAACCCTATTCTACCTTGTCCTCAAGTGTAATTTTATAATGATTTGTACTTGTCAGGCAATAAATAGTTATGAAAATGACCTTTATAAAACATACCTTTCTTAAATTACAATTTCCAAAACTAAATAGTTTGGCAAAAAGACATAAATTCCAAGAAGCTGTTGTAGGTTTTTATGAACTTGTGCACAGACCCTTGTGTGCTGCAATTAAGATTAAGCATTAAGCTATGTCCTTCTTGGAAACTGGTACCCTAGAGAATGGGGCTGTCAACCCACACACTGATAACCCCTTAAACCATAATCATATGTATAAAGTTCTAATTTTTACCAATAAGTAGGTTTTAAAATAAAATGTCAGTTACCTATGATTTTCAATACTGTATACAATTGGGTTTTTAACCAATACACCCAAAAACATTAAATATAAAAAGAAGAAGTGGAAGATACTGATTCTGAGCGGTTCAGGAAGTGATTTAAACCTGCACTTGCTTAAATATTCTAATCATAATGGCTTTGCCTTGTATAGTAAATTAGTAGTCAATGATTGTACAAGTGCACTTACAAAAAGCAGGTCGCCGGAATTTTATCCCCCTGGAATTTTACCCCCTGGGCAAAGCTGACGTCACTATGACGTAGTAATCTGAGCGGCCAAAAGTTTGTTCCCGGCCGGAATTTTACCCCCGCGGATTTGGATGTCTAATGAAAATAGCCAGAGCGTGATTAATTAGATTAGCGATGAAAACCGGAATTTTACCCCCTGTCCTTATAACTAGCGTTTAGACAACTGAAGATGTACGGGCCGGATTTTTACCCCCTAGAATTTTACCCCCTGGCCAGTTTTAGAAATTGAATGATTGATTTTCTTATTTCTGTTTTTAATTATTTGTAAACATTTCATTATTTAATAGCCTATCTTTATTTATTTTGTAATCTCAACTAAGTAAACAGAATTCGCTGTTTTATTTTGATCATATTAACCGACAGTTGGCATCAAAGATCGAATCCTGATACTGGAATGTCAAAATTAAAATTAATAAGCTGTTCGATTAGTTAATGTTACAAATAAATTAAGATAGGCTACTTAATAATAAAATGTTTACTATTAAATTAAAACTGAATGAATATAATTAATCATTCTCACTAATTTATATATCTGGCCAGGGGTTAAAATTCTGGGGGTAAAAATCCGGGGGGTAAAATTCCGGGGGTAAAATCCGGGCCGTACATTCTAGGTTTTTATAATTTGATGTGTTCTGATTAAATTCACAACCGTGAAAATATATAAATATATGTTTAATTCCGCGTTTAATCCATCGAGCTGATATCGCGAAACTCAAAAGTTCGCGGCCGGAATTTTACCCCCTGGTTTGTGACGTCACGTTTGCCCAGGGGGATCAAAATCCGCTACCCCAAAAAGCCAGCTTTGCCTCGCACATGAAACTCCTTGAGGAGTATGTTTTATCATAGATAAAACATACTCCCTTGTGTTGGTTAGTCTATGGTTTTATCTATGATACTACCACAGATAAAACCACGGCTACATAAACATACTTACACATATATTTCCGCATCTTCCTATTACTCTATCTCTATGCAGCTGTATATTGAAGAAATGCCGGCTTCTCGGTCTCTGTCTAGTGTCTGTACTGTACCGGTATCTGATTAGAGAAGAGAATCTGTACCTGTCTGACACACTGCTATTTATGTTGTCACTAAATCAAAACAAAAACAGAAAAAGTTAACAATAAACATCCTCTCCTCAAAAACAATCATTAACCGATTTCTCACATTGCAGTGTTCATTGTTATAAGTTCGGTCTACTCAAAAGATATAACTTTGTCAGGATGATTATTTAAAGAGCTATATAATATACAGTATAACATAACTATTGTGGCTGGTGAGAAAATCAAAATGTCTTGCAATTATGCCGATGGACTATCACCCTATGAAAACAAAGGAGTATTAGGATTGGAAGAAGTAAGTTTGATGACTTTCGGTGGTAATGAATATAATAAAATATTTGGGCTTGTCCCATCTGTATTTTCCATGCTTAGTTTAAATAAAATGAAGTCCTGTCCGTAGGCCTATTAGTAAATGACTGGAGCCTATTCTAACCTAGGTTATTGTTTAAAACTAGGCTAGGCCTGGGCCTACCTGGATTTTTATATTTTTTTTTTTTACTTTTATCAGATTAATAATAAGAATATTAAAACATGGTAAGTAAGATAGTTACTTAATCAAAACTTTCAACAAACTCAACTGCAAACACAATAGGCATAAGCTACAAATAAAGAGTGGTTACAATAACACTTCAATCTAGGCTACAATAAGTTTCTGTATTACTCTTAGCTAAGGGATACCTTGTAAACGCTATTTCAACAACATCTTCAGATCATAGTAATAAAGTAAGGGCTACACATTATGGTCATCATTAGTATAGGCTGACTACGACCACAGGTTGGGCCTGATGTAGGGGCCTACATCACTAGGATGAAGGAAACAATAATTTTAGCATACACTGTTGAGACTCTAGCGTTATTTGGGCTACGCAATGGCTCTTTAATAAAATGCTCCCAAGTTAGTACAGTTAAGTTAAGTATAGTAAGTTAAAATAAATACTGTAGCCTAAGTATTTATTTAGTAAGCCTCCTGCTCACAACACAAGGCTCTATGAAGAGAAACCCTCATACATGCGTGCCAAGTTTTTTAACGTCCTTCCCGTCCACTTGAAGTCTCTTCAACCCAGAAAACTGAAGAAAGAACTAAAGTGCTGGCTGTTACATAGACCATTTTATAGCCTGAATGAGTATTTGTCTTGGCAAGAACTTGAATAAATCATCACTGCAAGAACTCTGATCATCTATTTTTTATTCTTAAAAAATAACAATTTGTATTGACTTTTATATAGCAACTGCACAATTCTGAAATTTCTGTATTGACGCCCTTTCAATCTTAAAGATTGTAAATAAAGTATTCTTGTATCTTGTATCTTGTAAGGGTACACTTCCATATCTGTTTGTACAAACAACCGAATGAAAATATCGATCGATATATCGTTTGGCTTGTTAGGTAAGGTTAACCTAACCTAACTAACCAAACGATACATCGAATTAAACAATCGAATAATCAATATTACTCATTCGGTTGTTTGTGCCAACAGGTATGGAAGTGTACCCTAATACAAACGCAACAAACTTTTAATTAGGTCTAGGTAATGTGTTGCATACTGGTATAACGAAGCTTCCAAAATAACTACCGTAACTTGGCACAAGAATGAATTAACTTATGAATTGTAAAGACATCGGTATCTTTTTTTAGGAAGATTCTCTCATTTTTATTATCAGCCTAAGTTAGGCCTAACTTAAACTTATGTGTTGTCCTGTTTGGTTAGTCCAACTAAATCCAATTCTATTAGGTAAACTTAATATAGGGCCAATTAAGCTAAGTTAATTTGTTATAGAAATTTGACAGTGAAGAAGAGGTGGCTGAAAAGGTTTCCAAACTTGCTGAATGGATCTCAGAGGCTCGCCATGTTGTGGTTCATACAGGTGCTGGCATAAGCACTTCAGCTGGAATTCCTGACTTCAGGTTAGTCTTAATTGTATTTTTTTAGAACCTGCCTAGGTTTGCTGCTACAGAGAGTGTAATAAAGTGTGTTTTTTTAGCAAACTATCAATAGCTTAGTAGCCTATCAAATACATTATTTGCCACGTTTGATAAAAATATCTCTAGCAAACTACAACAGTTTGGCTGCGAATGTGGAAGACGATGCTGATGTTCCGTTACTGTGGGTGTTATTCTGGGTTTTGCTGTGATGGCGGGAGACATGTTTTAAACATTATTGATGGAATCGGAATCAAAAAGTGGTAGGCCTACTGTGGTATTATCCGGAGGCCACACTTATACAGCGCGCTGCGGTGGTTATGTTGTAGGGTTATTATAAATATGTTTGTAAGACTTTCCTCGTTTCGTTATGAATCGAACGATACCAGATGAGCGATACTTTCGCCCGCCAAATTCCCTCCAATCAGGGGTGCCCAGAAGGGGTTTTGTGGCATGTTTGCGCTACAGGAATTTTTTTTTGGGGGGGATGTTTTTTGCTAGCTGTCATAATGAATTTATACCTAATTTTGTATTAACAGCTCAAAAAGTGTTTCTAAGTAGTTCACTATCAACACCAACAACATTTTGCCATTTGTAATTAAGATTGTTTCTAAGAATGGTAAAAACGTACCTTGTCAGACAATCCTTAACATGTATGGTAGTGTCGAATTTTTACACGTGTCGAGCAGGAACCTGAGCCACACATAAGCGGCAGTGGTGGCTACAATACAAGCAGCACATTTATAACACTTATCAAATCTTCCCGGTTTTAGGAGTCAGTTTAGACGAAAATGGCAAACTGTGCTTACCCGCAAGACGTATTGCGGCTATTGTTGCTATCTGACGATTGTTTGCCTTAAAAAAAACTTAGTAGGTATTCAGAAAAAACTTATCCCTTACTTCGTCCCATACTTTTCTGGCGACTAGAGATTTCTCATCCCATTGTAAAATTTGAAGCTTGTTTTTTATGTTGGTGGCACTTAGCACTAGTGTCAAAAAAATTTTGTTTCCACTCTTTTATGGTTAATTTTATGTTTTACTGATTGGTTATATAACTAAAGGACGAGTTATTGTTTATAATTAGGCTATACTGTTGTATTTAGTTAAACAAGGTTTTAAATTACTGAAATGAAAAGAAGAAAAAAATGTAAATAAAAAAAAACTCGATTCTAGCAGCACAGCACGGAACCAACAATATAATTGTCTTCAGCTGTTCCATAAGAATGCGAAAGCGAATAATGCTCCTTTAACATTAAGTTATACAGTTTTCAGGATTTTTTTAGTAGGCCTAGGCCTAGTGTAAAGAAGAGTTGGCTAGGCTATATTATAACTCTCACTCTAACTTACAAGCTTACAGCGAGGATAGAAACCCTTGTGCTCTTGCAGGTAAATCGTATGTTTGTTGCGTATGTAGTTAAATGCAAGCTTTAATACAGCACAGTTTTTAATCAAATGGGAGCTCACAAGCCAGTAAAAATAGATCAGTTGTTATGTTTTATTATCCACCCGAACCGTGCAACTGATAAACTTAAGCCATAATTTTTATTTTACAGAGGCCCAAAAGGGGTTTGGACTTTGGAAGCTAAAGGAGAGAAGCCAGATATAAACATATCATTCAACGATGCCATTCCTACCAAAACTCACATGGCGTTGGCCAAGCTTGTTGAAGTTGGTAAGATTAAATGCTTTTTACAATCCATAACCTAATGTGGGCTAGTAATGATTCATGCCAACTGTTAAGATCATGAAGACTCAAGAGGCATTAACCTACTTTAGTAGCAAACATTTTTTAAATTCATTGTAGTAGCCCTGGAAATGTATAATGCCTAATATTGGTTTTATATTACCTGTCGTCAGTTCCAAATTGTAACTTTTGTCAATGCTACATGTTTCGGTGAGCTGCCATTTTCAAGCATATAGTCCAGGAATGTACATTAATAAAACCGCTTGTTTCATCGTTGGTTTACACACATGACACTTAACACACGACATATAAATAAATAATACTTTTAGTTGCATAGGCATATCACGGGTACAAAAAATTGCCTTTACACGACCGGGAACGGACCAACTTTAGTTGATAGGCCTATCCAACTAAAAGTATTATTTATTTATGTGTCATGTGTGTAAACGAACAACGAATCTATACAAGCGGTGTTTTCAGTGTACATTCCTGGTCCTGTGCTTGAAAATGGCAGTGCCAAAACATGTAGCATTGACAAAAGTTACAATTTGGAACTGACAACAGGTAGCCTAATATAAAACCAATATTAAGTAAATATTTGTATCTATTCTGTACAGTGCCCAGGTTAATTAGAAACAACAAAAAATAGTTAATTAACATATTCCAGCAATATTATCCATTGACCAGCAAATTCATATTAATTGTGTTAACAGTGGATTTGACACTGTCGTATGGCCAAGGGGCCACTACTGCTAGAAATGCTACTGTCAATTCCATTTTATAGACCTGGCTACAATGAAAGTGTAGGGAAAACAAGGTAATGAAACACATACTGTAATTCAAAGATCACAGAAAAATATTTTATTTGCAGATATATTTGATTACAAACTGGTTCTATGTGACTAAATGTGTGAAACAAGCGAGTTAAAAAAATAAATAGTAACAAATTAGACACAATAATTAATTATAATCAAACGAGGAATAACTTAATTTGGTCTATTTTTGGGAGGTGGAAACCTTTTAATGCAAAAGTAAATTTATAAAAAATACTATCCTAGCAAAACTATTTAGCATTTTCCATAACCAATACATTTGCAATGTTGCGATGAATGACATTTTGTAAACATCTGGCATTTGCAATGTTGCGATGAATGACATTTTGTAAACATCTGGCAATCTACTGTTAAGCTCTGTACAGTAAAACCTCACTAGCTCGACACACTGTAACTTGAGAGTCTGCATAACTGGACAAGGCAACAGCTGATAAGGTGCTAGCAAAAAAAAGCAATTACCTATACATTTTGTATGTAAAAGTTAGTCTGTTATACAGGGTAAGTAAACAGCCAAACTCCGGAAAATGGTTCCATGGGTCAAAATAAAGGGAAAATCAAGAATAAGATTTTTTCCAAAATCGCTTCGTTAACCAAATATCCACCATTTTGTATTTTTTTTATAAACATTTTTATTTTTTTATTTATTCAACCGATCTTTATAAAACTTGGTATGTAGGTTAAGAGCCCCATGTTAGAAAAAAAAATATCTTCTTGATTTTTTCATAAAATTAGCCATTTTTGAGTAATTTAAGTTTAAGAAATTAAAATGGCCACCATTTTGAAATTTTAAGTTGAATCAAGATGATTTTTTCTAACATAGGGCTTTTCTACCTTAATCTACATACCGGTACCAAGTTTTATAAAGATCGGTTGAAAAAATCGAAAAATAAAAATGTTAGTATAAAAGATATAAAATGGCGGATATCTGGTTAACGAAGCGATTTTTGAAAAATTTATGAAAAAAACAACCGGAGTTTGGCTGTTTACTTACACCCTGTATATTCATTTAAAAAACCCATTACAAATTTCAATGTTCTGGATAACTTGATAATCTTTAGATCCACAATGTTGAGTTAGTGAAGTTTTACTGTAGCACATAAGTAAAAAATTAAATCAAGTACGGTACTAAATTTACCGAAAGTAATATATAAGTAATATCTATACGACTAAGTGAAGCTACATAGCTTATAACTCTAGTTTCTACGGTTTTTGAGATTTGTTTCAAGCAGTTTTGGTTCGATTCCTCCTCTGGACTAGAATCAGGATGAGAGGAACAAGAGTGCACATCATCTGTAACAAGAGCTTCAAGTTTGAAAAAGTAGTCCAGTAAACAAACCAGGGTATATTTTTGGATGTACAGAACAACCCTGCTAATCCAACACCCACAGGACCCAGACCATGGAACAGTGAAAAGGTCGAATTGTCGGAGGAGCATATTAAATTACCAAATTAATTACTTAACTGACATTTATTGACTGTGTGTCATTGCAAAAGACGATGATAATGTTCTCGTGACTGCTGGAGATGCTTAATATTTTGCCACAACCTTGGGAGACGACGATCACTGTTTCCGGGATTAAGGGACACATTCAAGATTTTGCTACTGTCAGGGAAGACGACAATGATGTTTCCTGTACCACAGGAGATGCTTAGGAGTTTGCAGCGATCGTAGATAACAACGATAGTTTCCGTAATTGCTGGAGACGATGATAATGTTGACTGAGGGAGATGTTCAAGATTATGCTGCAATTGGCGAAGGCAATGAGGATTTTTTTTCTTGACCGTGGATTTGTCTAGGATTTTTCCACGATTGCAGAAGGACGATGATAATGGAAAAGGATGATGTTTCTGTGATCGCGGAGGATACAAGATTTTGCCATCATTGCGGGTGACGGTGATGATCTCCTCACGGCCATGGGAAATAGTCAAGATATTACCATGAAATATTTTCACCAATAGGCCATGGCACGGTTGGATAAAGCAAGGACTAGCCGAGGTCAGATTTGGGGAGTTTTACTATTGATTCCACTTATCTTGAAATAGAAAAGATTGATGTCTTGGACTATTTTAAGATCTTTCTTTGCATTAGAGAACTTACTTTACTTCCTTGAAAGCCATGGGATAATTTTTAATATCTGTTTTGATATGATCAGGGAGAAATATATCTCTTGTACATCGGCTTGCCCCTTAATTTTAATATTTATGAGGTGCACTGAGTTAACCGTTCCTTTTAGATCCTACATTAATTAGTTATGTTTGGTTTTATTCCTTTTCTGTACCCCTGACTAATATAACCATAGTACAGATTCATAACCAAAAGCGAGACTTATTCTAACCTTATACAAACCCTTGCAAATCTAAAAAAAATGCAAACTATTTTAAAACTTTTTGCCCCAAAATAGTATAGCTATTGGAATAAGACAATTTTAGAAACCTATTTATTTAGGTAATGTTTATGATGTAACAGAAGCAACCAAATAACTGAGTCATGATGAAAAAGAAAATGTTTTTATTCTATACCCAACAAACGTTCACACACAGAGCTTTTGCATAGTCCTAAGTTCAGTGCCTGCTTTCAATACCATACCACTGATTCTTACAGGTGTATACCTACTTAAGGTTCAGTTAATAAATACCCTACAAATTATACCTAAACAGATCTTATTTTAAATATTTTATACAGATCACTTATTATCAATGTATTTTCAGAATATCATATTTAAAACATTTTCAGAATCATCAATAGAATTCAAAATTTCTAGTTTACCTTCGTTAAAATCTTCAGGTCCAAAATGAAGAATCCTTCGGCCGAAAGTTGAACTTTCCGATGTTTCAGAATGTGGGAAAAAAACTCCAACTGTAAATCGTATAGAACATAATTATTTAACCACAATAGTTAAAAACAGCAATCATAAATTAGGCCTATTTGTTGAGTCTTTAATGGAGCGAATCAGTTCACGAGTAAAGTAAACATTGTTTATTTATTCTCAGGGTTAATAACTCATAAAAGGGAATAACTGTAGGCGTGTTACGATAAGAAGAAAATCTTTTCCCTTTTTTTTACCAAATTTGAATTTTTTACAAGATTTAAGTCAAAAGTATAGTGACTCAATAAAAGTGAGTTTAAATTCTTACCTTGAACTTTATAACAGAAATGTTCTTATGTGATTGAATCTATTTTTGAGTGTGGTCTCACTTTTCACAAGTAGGTGGTCTACCAACAGGTGTTTCTTGAAGGATTCAGAGAAATTTCTATCTAATTTCCTGATTACGGTTTTAAAATTGTGAACAAGTGTTGTTTTAGTGGGTTTAGCCATAGACTAACCAACACAAGTAGACTTCTCATCCCATTGTAAATTTTGAAGCACGTTTTTCGTGTCTAGTTCATGTACGCCACACTGGGCGCTAGTGTCGACGAAATTTTGTTTCTATTATTTTAGGGTTAATTTTTTGAATTGTGCTTTACTGTTTGGTTAAATAACTAGGGGACAATATATTGTTTATGATTAGATCGTATTATTTGGTTAAACGAGGTTTTAAATGACTGTATTAACGGGAAACAAATTGTAAACAAAACACGACCTCTACGTAAACCGTACAGAACTAACAATAAAATTGTCTTCAGCTGTTCCATAAGGATGAGAAATCTACTAAGGGAGTATGTTTTATCTATGGTTTAGCCAAGGCCCCACTAGAAAAACAGACCATGCTGCAGAATCCATAACGTCACACTTGTGGGTAGATTCATTGATAAATTCATTGCCATCGACATTCCCATATGTTTTAGGTAATTTTAGGCTGTTTGTAAGATTTTGATGGTAAAAGTTAAGTTCAACTATCCACCACTGTGACGTAGTGTTGCGCTGCCCGTGCTGCAGCATGGCCTGTTTTGTAATGGGGCCTTGGTTTAGCCTACCACATGTTTGTGTTGCATTTTTTTTTGTAATGGAAAATTATTGGAAAATACTTTGCTTTTTTACCAGTAGACCTGCTTGGAAATAACTCACTACTTATCAAATATTCCTCTAAAATAATGTTATCCAAAGATGATTTTATATCAATTTAAAATATGTATAGTAATTCAAAAAGTAATGTGATGACAACTGTGTTTGGTTTAAAGCCATAACATAAAACTTATCATTATGGTTTCTCTAAACTTACCTCTTGCTCAATTTCAAAGGGGTGATCTTCTACAAGGAGTTCATGGATCAAGTAGCCAGTTTTTAGGGACTAAAACATAATAATACGTTATATGAGTTTGTTTTGTGACTTTTAATACCTATAGAGGTTTATAGAGGCTTCACTTGTCAATTATTTCAATTTGCTTGAAATGTCTAGATTGTCCAAGTAAAAGTAGTACTGCACCTAAATAATATAGCCTAATTACAATTGTCTCGGAAGCTGGTGGTAATAGTGCTAGCCTTCAAATCTGAAGGTCACTAGTTCAACACTAGTTCAATTCCAAGTGATAACTGTTCTCGACCCAGGCGGTGTTCGTCTAATTGCTATCGATATATTTATCATGCCATCTTACTAGAGGTCGACATACAGCAACATGTAACTAACAACAAAGTAATACTTTAATATTAAATGGGATTAAAGAATACGAAGAGACTCGTGCACAAATTTCACATTTTTATAGGACTAAAAACCTGTTTTTGAGGCAAAACAAAAAATGCAATATCCAATTACTTTTATGGTCATGTTTGTTTAGGATAGTTATTAGGTGAATAAAACCATAGGCTAACCAACACAAGTAGACTTCTCATCCCATAGTAAAATCTTAAGCTATAGTTCGTGTTGGGGACACTGAGCTCTGGTGTTGACAAAATTTTATTTCTATAATTTAATTTTAGAGTTAATTTTATAATCTGTGCTTTAATTTTTTGTTATGTAACCAGGGGACCAGCTATTGTTTATAATTACATGGTTTTATTGGGTTAAACCAGGTTTAAATAACTGAAATTACAAGTAACAAAAAAAAAACTCTAAATCTTAAGCTTTAAAATGAAACATAAACCGTAAAAATTGGTAAAGTAGGATGAGTGAAAAAGGTTTGTTTCAGAGAAAACTGCTTGCAGATAACTAAAAGCGGGTAACCCACTAAAGAACTACAAGGCTAGATGTTCAAACAAGCCGCTGATAGCTGACAGAATGTCAGTCAACAAAATTAATACTAGAGCAACACTTACATTGTTCTTGGCATTGGTAGCCGAGGTGAGAAAAGAGATGAACATGACCAGGTAGAGAATACCGTAGACGATGTGAACTATGTAATGGCCGAAATCAGAGACAATGATGAACATGCGAATGAATATGAAGCAGGTGGTGAGAGGCATCAATATCCCGGGGGTAGAGTATAGCTCGTTGATCACCCGGTGAGCATCGCAAAGTCGAAAATGAGCCTCATTGAATTTGTGGATCTCGTCGACAGTGATGCAGGCAAACGCCATCTTAGGCTTGGGGATGGGTTTCTCCCTGTGAATCTTGAAGGTGAAATCTCCATAGTACAGGCAAAATAGATTAAAATTCACCAAAAAAACAAAAAAATTAGTTCAGGGATGAAACTTTGGTTTTAACTTCGTTTTACCAATAGAAGTCAAGATCCGATGAGTCCCTAACAGTCCCGATGGGGGAACATGCTTTTTAGGGGGTGGGGAGGGGGAATTTTGATATAATTCATTATTCACAATTTGAAGTCATTTAGGAAGTCGTTTTTAAGGTTTGTATACACGGTGAATCGATAGGAACCATATTTAGGTCGATAGAACCACCTCCATAAGAGATTTAGCATATTGGTACAGGTTTAGTTGTTGTTTTTTCTAGGAGGGGTAGGGGGAATTTTAAATACTTTATGATTTTTGACTTATGACTTGTTGGATGTCGTTTTCAATGGATTTCTACATGCCAAATAGAATGGAACCACTATTTTGTCGATATAACTACATTATTAACAGATTTGGAGTGCTATCTGACAGAAATAAAATAAATGTTTTTGCACAAAATTAATTATTTAATATTTAAACATAAAAATTAAAACTATTATCTAAACATAAAGTATTAATTGAATGAGTTTATTTTTACAATAAATTCAATTTTCCCCATTATAAAAAATACCCACGCCGCAGCAAACCTGCATACCAAGCGAATTTCCATTTATCTGGCAGGATTTCTACTAAAATTTGTCCTAGAAACTGTCAGATTTATTTCCTATTTAAATAACATTATTTTTAATTAATAATTAGGTTTGCTGCTACAGGGATGTAATGGGGGTTGTTTTTATTAAAATGTTGGTAGCTTAGTATGAAATAAACAAAATTGCCAAGTTTGGTTTAAATATATCCACAAACAAGTTTATTTATCTACAACAGTTTATTTATTTTCCATTAGAATAACATGGGAATTTTAAATTTACATTTTTTTTATTATCTCCTTAACCGTTAGGCGTACAACAAGGCATATACTAAATTATTAAATCTTTTAAGCTCTTGAAAGTGGTTTGGAAAGAAATTGTGAAATTCTTTGTTGATGGGGTCAAAAATGGGAAAAACCAATTTTCTCCCCACAAAAGTCTCCATAAACCCATAATACATTGTAATACATTGACATTATGTCAGGGTTTAAACCATGTTTTATGATTTAAAGTTCAAGTAAATATCTATTAACCTTTGCGTAGCCCTACATAGTTTGTATATATGTTTTATATATTTTGTACATATCTGTACTGTTTTTCAGCAAGTCAAAGGAATACATTCTAAGTTACAACGAGGTTTTTGCGAATTTCCCATATAGGGAATAAGCTATTACCGTAGGTCTCATGGTAAGACTTAGACCCGGGACCAATTTACATTTTTGTTTTGTGGTCCCCAGAAGTCAAAAACACCATCCTTTCAAATTCATATACATATGTGTCCGTTTAGCGTGATAACTCGAGCACAAATTATCCGATTTTGATGTCATTTGGTACAAACGTGTTAACCTAAATTTATTCGAACGAGTTTGCAAACCAGCATGATTGGACTATGGGAACAGGGGTTTATGGGAATTTTTTTGGGGAGAAAATTGGGTTTTTCCATTTTGACCTCATCAACAAAGAATTTCTTTCCAAACCACTTTCTAGAGCTTAAAATATTAAATAGTTTAGTATATGCCTGGTTGTACGCCTAACGGTTCAAATCAAATCAAATCAAATTATCTTTATTCACTTTATACATTTTACATACATGAATAGTGTCAAAGCATACAAAATTGGTTATACAACTTAATCTTAAAGACTTAACCATACAATTTTACAATTATTTTAGAATGTGTAGCTAATTCATTTTTGATTTAGAAACTCATCTATACTATAAGGAGCCAGATTAATTACAAATGATTTTAATTTAAAAAAAAAAATTGGGTTTGTTTTGATCTTTTTTTAGTAAGGCAGGCAAACTTCTTATGAATAAATTGTCGATATACGAAGGTTTCATTTTTGAAAGTTTCAGCCGATGATGACTTTTTACAGTAAGATTTTTCCACCTTGTGTTGTATTTATTGGATACTTCAGTGTTTTTATCTTTATAAACATGCTGAATAGTTTTAAAAATATACAAACCATACACTGTAAACATTTTCATTCCATCATTACATTGTAAAAAAGTACTTTAATTTTTTTTATTAAATAAGTTTCTTTTTGTTTACGTTTCTTTTATTTACTTTCCGTAAAAATTAAAGTAATTTTTCACCGACTTCTTATCCTTAAGGATTCTTATCCTTTAAGGTTAAGGAGATAATAAAAAAAATGTAAATTTAAAATTCCCATGTTATTCTAATGGAAAATAAATAAACTGTTGTAGTTCGCTTGTTTGTGGATATATTTATTTAAACCAAACTTGGCAATTTTAATAAATATATCTATGGTTCTTACCGTCAACGCAAGACGCAACGTTGGCAATTTTGTTTATTTTATACTAAGCTATCAACATTTCAATAAAAACAACCCCTATTACCTCCCCTGTAGCAGCAAACCTAATGACTCATTAAAATTAATGTTATTTAAATAGAAAATAAATAGTAATCCTGTCAGGTAAATAAAAAATTTGCTTGGTCTGCAGGTTTGCTGCGATGGGTATTTTATTATAATAGGAAAAATTAAATTTATTGTAAAAATAAACTCATTCAATTAATACTTGATGTTAAGTTAATTGTTTTATTTTTTATGTTTAAATATAAAACAAATAATTTTGTGCACAAACATTTATTTTATTTCAGATAGCACTCCAAATCTGTTAATAATGTAGTTATATCGACAAAATAGTGGTTCCTTTCTATTTGGCATGTAGAAATCCATTGAAAACGACACCCAACAAGTCATAAGTCAAAAATCGTAAATTATTTAAAATTCCCCCTACTCCTCCTAGAAAAAATAACAACTAAACATGTACCAATATGCTAAATCTCTTATGGAGGTGGTTCTATCGACCTAAATATGGTTCCTATCGATTCACCGTGTATACAAACCTTAAATCCGACTTCCTAAATGACTTCAAATCGTGAATAATGAATTATATCAAAATTCCCCCTCCCCACCCCCTAAAAACCATGTTCCACCATCGGGACTGTTAGGGACTCATCGGATCTTGACTTCTATTGATAAAACAAAGTTAAAACCAAAGTTTCATCCCTGAACTAATTTTTTCATTTTTATTTAGTATTTTTCCTGTACTACCAGTGCAGCTGTCTTTCCTGATAGCGTCTAGAGTCTGCTCACATACCACCTCCAACCGATCGTTAAGTGCTTCAAAATTCTTGTGGATGAGCAACAGCATCATCTTGCCTTTGATCAGTGTGGCGAACGACACGGTCATGACGGCAGCGATGGCTGTGGTTTGGTAGAAAGTGTGTGTGTAGCCAATACAGCAGGCCACAACAAGACTTGGTGTGATGATGAAGAAGCCGATGTAGCATTGCTGGACCATCTTGCTCAAGACGACAGGCTCTGTTATATCCAAGGAGTACATGACTTTCTGCGTCTCCTCCAAGATCTGGAAGAACCTGACGATGGCGTCGGGTCGGATCAGAGGAGTGAGAATTGCAAGAGAATGTGTCAGCCACTGAGTGATGGTGCTGACAACGTGGATGAAGACAAAAATGTCTCGATCGTTGTTGTAGTAGTGGATCATGAAAGTGATCAGATAGTAGAGGGGGAAGAAGATCAACACAAAGTGTGGCACTTTCTTCGTCCAAGGGATGAAACTAGTGTGTCGTGTGTTGGGACAAACCCCACACAGGTCGAGGATTTGGAAGGTCGTTTCAAGAAAGTCTGCAGAGTTTTTTTCCATTTTGCTTTCAGGTCCCACTGGAATTTGTCCTTAAGTTGGTCTGATACTCAATTAAATTGCTATGAAAACAATATCAAGTTGAGTAGTCGAAGTATTACTACAGCACTTAATTTGATCAATATCCCTAATGTTAAAAAAATGTCAAATTTCATATTACATTATTGTGACATATTACATCAGTAGATGTCATGTGAAGAATACTTAAAGTAATCAATTATGTAATGTATTACATTATTGATATTATAAAGTCATAGCTTAACCGTAACTAAATAAACAATTAACTGTTGAAACTAAACACTTAAAATTATATTGTTATTCTTGCTTAGTGTACAACAAATATTTCTTAACTATAAATCTTATATATTTAACAATACCCCTGCTGCAGTAAACCTGCCGACTAAGTGAATTTCCATTTATCTGAATTGATTTTCAATTAAATCTATTTAAATTACATTAATTTTAACGAGTACCTAGGTTTGCTGCTTCAAGGAAACTAATAAAGTGTGTTTTTTTAGTAAAATACTGATAGCTTAGTATAAAATGGATAAATTTGCCAAGTTTGATCTAAATGTATCCATAAACAAGCAAACCACATCATTTTACAATACTCTCTAAAAGAATAACACAAAGAATTTTAAATTTAAAATTTTTTGAATTTTTTCCGTTACCAATACCCGTTCAAAAACACTTTGATATAGACCTACTAAATTATTTGTTTTTTTAAGCTTTTTAAAAAGGTCTAGAGAGAAATTGGGCAATTTTGTGTTTTGAGGGTAAAAAATGAGAAAACCCTATTTTTACCCCATAAAACCCCCCGTAAAATCCCGTCCCTTGGTCCGATCATATTAGTTCGCGAACTCAATTAAGTTAAGTTTATCCCGCCTTACACCTTTAAACCAAATTTCATCAAAATCAGACAAAAATTACTCAAGTTAGTTCACGGATATCTTACTAATATTATAAATGTGAAAGTTTGTGTGTTTGTTTGTTTGTTTGAAGTTCAATCACGCATAAACCACTGGACGGATTGGGCTGAAATTTGGCATGATGATAGCTCAAATTCCCGATTAACATATAGGCATATTCTTATCTCAAAAATCCTTTCGAGCTCCGCCCTAGTGGCTCTGTAGTTCCCCATGTTAACCTTATGAGTACCGTATTCATTTTTAAAGGGAATTAAAGAATTTAGTCAGGTGTATCAACTAAAAAAGTTGGTTCTATGATATACAAAAGCATTAAAAAAGTTATAATATTTACCAACAGGGCGCAGCACTATAATTTTTTTTGCATTTATGTAAACAGCTAATTGGAACTAAGCAGCAACAAAAAACTGTGATACGCAATGAGAACTGTAAAAGTAGGATTGTTTACAGTTTTTTTAATGTAATAAATAGTTTGTGATTTTTTGAGAATTTTTAATAATTTTTTTATTGTTTAGGATAAGTGTTAGAACATTATGTTTATGGTAGATATATAATACTTAGGTATACCGACAATTTAAAGAAGCAAATTATATAAAACTGTGTCCTCCCCCATTACAAACGCAAAGCTTGAGTATGACTGCAATACGCATTTTAAACTTACATGCCAACCCTGTACGAAGGACGGGTAATCTGCTAGTATATATATATAAAAAAATTTGAAAGAATGGTGTTTTTGGCCTCTGAGGACATCAAAATGAAATGAATTGGTCCCAAGCCTAGGTATTACCTTGCCACCTACAGTAATAGCTACTGCTACTACCTATAGAGTTCGCTAAAACTTTTGCAAAACTTATGACAGCTAGCCTGACCATACTACTGGACCGAATTAGACACGGATGGTACCAAATGAAATATATTTTCCTTTAGCTGTGCAGAATCCCTTTATAAATTAAAATAGACTCACAAATAATGAGAAACTAACCCTAAAATAACAGAAACAAATTGTAAACAAAACACAACATCTACAGAAAACCGGACAGAACTAACAATGAAATTGCCTTCAGTTGTTCCATAAGGATGGGAAATCTACTAAGGGACTATGTTTTATCTATGATAGTATCAAGACCAGAGTTAGGGGTTCAAAAGATAAAGGTTAATTACCATGACATTGAATACAAATAATAAAAACTGATTTAGTTTAATTCATAATTCCATACAGTAATGACCTGTAGTTTTGGATTAAAATCTCCAAAATGTTTTATAAACTTCTTAATCGAGTTGTGTCCTGAAAATTTTCATGGTGACCTTCATATTTTATAATGCACATAGACGACAATTTTGAGAATTAAGGAGACAAAGGACAGGATAAGCGTTTGTCTCCTTAATTCTCAAGTAATAAGCCCTTTCTAATCAAACCACTAGACTACAATTTTGGTTAGCGAACAAATTTGGTATAGGCCCACCGTGAACCATTTCTAGTGTTTTAATGCAATCTATATTTTTAGGGAAAGTGCAATATATAGTGAGTCAGAACATTGATGGACTTCATCTAAGATCTGGTCTTCCTCGGAAAAATCTTGCAGAACTGCACGGGAACATGTTTATCGAGCAGTGTGCCTTATGTAACCGGTAAGAAATATTGTTAATGTAAAATAATTGTGTTGTAAGAAGTGTTTTTAATACTGTAATTAATAATTAATTTCAACCATCCATCCAGTTAATCCTATACTCATAAACGTTTGCTATTGCATTTACTGAATTTAAAGACTATTAATTTTTTACAATTTGCAAACTGTTTATCCCAGTCTAGAGTTTATCCTAGACATAAAGGTCATACATCTTATACTAAACAGTAAACTGGCCTACAGGCACCAGCATTTTTTTGCCTGAATTAGTAACAGATTTTTCTTAAATTTTAAAAAAACCACGTTAATGTTAGTTTTTCATTTAAAATCAAATTAAACCTAAATAATCTTATCTTAAACACTGGCAATCACACAACACTACAATAGACGTTGGCCATCAGCAATCTCACTGCTACCAGAGCAGTGCCCCGCGTCAGACACGCAGCGTCTCAAGAGTCAGGCGCTTCTCGGACAACGGGAAGAATATATTCTCATTGGAAATTGTCAGTAAAAGGCCTGCTGTTCAACCTATCAAGATGCACCACAAAATCCAGTTTCCTGAATCCTGGCATAAAGCCAATTTTACCAAATAATGTCAAAATGTTATCTATTTACTGTGAGGTTGCTCAAAGTGTACATCATAAGTATTACTATGTTATTTGTTTAAACCAACGTAGACATTGTTGCAAGGTTGCTAAAACCCTGGAGACTTATTCGTGCAAACTAATAATTGAATTGTCATTTTGATTTTCTTAGCTTTTTGGACACTTATGAGATTTAAGCTAAACTGGGGTACGGTTCTTCGTGCAAGGACCGTATAGTAAGTTAAAATCTTGTTTCATTTTCATAACAGCTGCTATTTTATTTTACACATCTAGAAGCAAATTGTTCATCCTTGTTTCCTCGTTGTTGCACAGAAAAGAGAATGCTGAAGCCCTGTCCTAATTGTGGTTTTCTCATTGTTGAACAGACAGTTTGTGAGGAATGGTGCTACTTCGAGTGTTGGACAGAAGTGTTTGCTGAAGCCATGCCCCACGTCACGGCTCAATGGACGTCCGTGTCGTGGCCGGCTGCATGACACAATACTGGACTGGGAGGCGAGCCTGCCAGAGAACGACTTGGGAATGGCTGATTTCCACTCATGGTGAGTAATTGATGCTGTTTCCAATTCCTAGCTCGTTTGTGTTAGTGACACATACTTTCTCCCATTAGCTTGTCAACAACCTTTATCATGGGTAAGCGATGAGAGTAACTAACTATGACATTTAACAGGTAAAATCACAAAAATTTAATTTCATTAGCTTTTGAACAGTAATTTTTACAGGAATGGGGGGTTGCACTATTTTGTTTAGAACTATAAGGACCATAACAGACAAATTTAAATCAAAATCTTTTTTTAAATCCTTTTTTTCCATTTTTCATAGGTTTTAATGGGAAAATAACATAAGCTACAATAACTTTTGAACCACAATTTTTACAGCAATGGGGGGTTACACTATGTTGTTAAGAATTATAAGTATTATCACATACTAATTTCAATCAAAACTGGGTTTTTTTTAGCAAATTTTCCTATAGGGAAGTAGCTATTACCGTAGGTCTCATGGTAAGACCTAGGCCCGGGACCGATTTACTTTTTCATTTTGATGTCCCCAGAGGCCAAAAACACCATTCGTTAAATTTTTATATATGTATATATATATCTACATTTTTATATTCTTGAGGAGATCTTCATAGAGTTTATGATAAATGAAACATGAAACATTGCAAATTTTCTTTAATACAAACGTTTTCAAGCAAAGAGAATTTAATGAAAAATGTAAAAATGAACAAAACTAACAAATAAATATGAACTGTTTACAAATAGTTGAGTTTTGAGAACATATGATTGCGTATAGATCAAAGAAAATAATAACATCAGCCTAAAAGAAAAATTCAGCTGAGTTGAATCCCTTTTTTACTATCTTAAATTTAAACCAGAGGGGAACTTTGTTTTCAGTACCAACTGGTGAGCCAATTCAGAATTTCTTAAAACAGTTCGTTGCATTTAGGGTTTTGATGTGGGTTTACTTTGTGAAGGGCTTTAAGGGTATAGCAGCCTTCAAAACTTTGGTTGTGGTGAGCGGCATGATTATAGATTGGTTTTCTTTTGCCTTCATGTACCACATCAAAACGATGGCCTGTCATTCGAACTCTTAAAGAGTTTGAAGTCTGGCCAATGTACTCTTTCGGAAAATGTTCACACGATAGTTGATAAATACATTGTGAGATTCACAAGTTGATCTACCAACAATCGGATAAACCTTGTTTGTAACTTTACTATCAAATTCAGTTGTATTACTCATAATTTTGCAAATACCACATCGGGGCTTGTGACATGGTTCACAGCCGTGTTTAGAATTGTTTGAAGGCCGAGAATTTTGAATTTTGGGTCTCACCAACATATTTTTTAAATTTTGTGGCCTTTTAAAAATAACACGTGGTGGTCTGGAAAATAAATTTTCAGTACTGGGGGAAGATTTCAAAATATTGAAATTGAAAATTGCTAATTTCATTACACTGTTAATCTTTTGTAGCCCAGGATAGTATTGAGTAATAAATTTAGGATCACTTGAAAACCTATTATCTTGTTGAGTTTTTTTTTTTGGGTTTTTTGATCTGATTGGATATTAGTTTTTGATGATAGCCTCTTTCAATGAAAGCATAATTCAATTGAGTGATATATTTTTCAAAATCAGATTTTTCACTACAGAGTGTTTTAGCACGAATTGATAAGCTTGATTTTTTTTTAATTGAGTTTTTCTTATACATAGGGTGACAACTTTGATAATGTAAGCACTGCATTTTGTTAGTTTCTTTTAAATGAATTTTTGTTTTAAGTTTTTGATTATCAATGAAGACATCAACATCTAAGAAAGAACAAATTTTGTCTGAATAATTCCAAGTAAATTTCAAGCAAGAAAATTGGTTTAAATCTTGTAGAAATTCTTTTAGTGAATTTATTCCGTGTTGCCTTGCCAAACAATAAAGATATCATCTATAGGTCATCTAGGTTTAAGACTGCAATTTTGTTTAGAAAGTCGTTATTGTCTTTTATGTAGGATGGTAAATTTTGTAAATCAAGACCACCCCAAGGAAGACCAATTGTCTCAAGTATTGGATCACTAACTGAAAGAATCAACACGGAATAAATTCACTAAAAGAATTTCTACAAGATTTAAACCAGTTTTCTTGCTTGAAATTTACTTGGAATTATTCAGACAAAATTGTTTCTTTTTGAGTATTATACTCAGTGGTAAGACCTAACAATCTATATATTCTAAAATGTCCTTTGAAGTTATACTTACTTTTTAACATACTGGTCCAAGTAAAAAATCCCTCCAAATACCTATCACAAACATATTGTGATAGGTATTCCCTTAAATCCCCTAAATCCCTTGATCTAAACCTAATATAGATAAGTAAAATATAATACTTAAGCTTTACATGTTATCTATAAAATAAAAATATTTATTAGATTCAAAATAGTTATAGCATTAATGCTTAATTGGTCAAGAAAAAAGTATTCATATTTTTTGTTAAATCAGGCAATTTATTAGTCTTTAATAATTTGTACAATTGCAACTGTTGTTTCTTCTATTTCAAAATGTCACAAATATTGAACTTTTGTAATTCTCTAGATAAGTTATTGTATAGCTCTTTTTCTGCAACCGCTTTTATTTTCTTGTGTAAGTGGTTTATCACCCAGTCTCCTAGTTTGCTTACTATTTTGTTTAAAACTCCAGGTGCATTTTTAATTTTTATATCAATATCATAACCTCCGAGTTCTGTTATTTTAATATGGTCTAGATTAGCCTTACATTTCACTCCGTCATCAAATAGTGATATTTGTCCATTGATTGAATTTGATTTCACCTTTACCTTCACAGACCCTGTGGCACTCAATTTACCTAAATGAGCTTGCCAACGGTTAAAATATACTTCCATTTCTTGTAAGCCCAAAACCAATTGTAGCTTTACCACGTCTTCAGTCATATCCAAAAATGCGTCACCTGTTCTCTGTAGGGTTGCGAGGTTTTTGAAAATACCCTCAGTTGCTTTTACATTTCCTGACACACGGACAAATGAGATTTTTTCACTAAACTTTTCCTCCATGTCAGGAATATTTATTTGGCCGTTGTTTTTCGATAGTTCAGAATCTTTTGCGCTTTGTAAGATCGAGTCCACAAAGCCATTTATATTCTCCTTTTCTGATCTTGAGCTGGCAATACTCACTAGGAGAATTGCCAAAACGTACTTCAACTTCATTTCTAACCTGTAACAAGAGTAATATTATTTATTTTATGCTGCTTACGGGTTTGATTTCCAATATTAACCCTAGCGCTGGCAAACGCCGGATATACGGCGCGAACGGCCGCGGCCGAAATGGCGACGCCGGATATACGGCGCCAATGCCGGTGTTCGGTAGGCATATATATAATTTTTTTTTTTTTTTTTTAGTTTTGTTAACTTTTTTGGGCTACTGTTGTAATAAATAAGTTAAATAATACAAACCAGAGTACCCTGGAATTATATATTATATAAGGTGTACGGATTTGTACATGACCTGGGTTGGGTGATTATTTGGTACTAGCGCGGGGGTACGATCGACATAGTAATAGGGCTACCAAACAAAATACACAAAATAAGCTATATAAACCATATATTTTTGGAATCAGCACAAAATTTACCACAACTTTACAATTTACTATATGATGCTAAGTCTTACATGCACTTAGCTATATGACGGAATATAAAAACATTTTATAAAAAAATTAATAATGCCCACAATTTGGAAAAACAAAAAAAAAATTTTTTTGTGGTAACCATGTAAATCACCTTTAATATTGTTCTTTGTCTTATTCCGAACAAAATTATATATAACAATCCATAGTTATGTTGCTATTTCTAATTTTTATGATGGTTTAAAAATGATATTACATAATCAATAATATCCCTATGCCAGTACAGTGTTACACTACTGCCAGCTCTAGGGTTAAAGGAAATAAATCTTTGAATCTATTGGTGTAAAAAATTTGCTTTAAGTCAAATTAGTTTCAAAATCTTTGGCTTTTTAAATATGCTTATTTTTATTAAATTCCAATGTAAAGTGAGGAAAGTAATGTGTTAGATTAGTATTTTTTTCATCTCCTTCAACAATTCTGCTCCTCAGGGAATGAAGGAAACATTTTAATACTTCTTTTACAACTACAATGATGATAATAATAAAATTACACTTCAAAAATAGAAAATAGCACAGTTCCTTAAAACATTTCAAATTATTGCACAAAGTTATTGGACCCTCTCTAAAATAAACCATCCTGCAAAGTAGCATTTTTCCTTAATCATCCTTCTGAAGACCGCAAAACGTGCTGAGCGACGTACTAAAATAAAGTAAAAAACTTACAGCCCGGTTACTGGCAAGAACTAAACGGCCTGGTCTTGGCAGAAAGTGAATATTTAGCTAACTATATTGAAACACATACCCACATCTACTTTTTAAGCATTCTAAACAACAAAATACTTATGCATTGTACTACAGTAGAGTCCCGCAAACTCGGCACTCGATAACCCAGCAGTCTGGATAATTCGGCCATCACCTGGCTCAGAAAATAAGTGATTTTTTGAGTCCAAGTTAAACATAGACTCAAGCCAGCTTAAGTCAAATCATTCGCAACTCGTAAAAAGGATTTGTTGTACTATATCTGATGACTTAATACTGACTTGTATTATAAATAAATGTAAATAAAGAAGGCAGGTAAAAGGCTTACAAATTTTATTGTTTATATTTTTAACCCTAGTTCCCGATAACCCGGCATTTCACAAACTCAGCACCCTTCCAGTCCACATTACGCCGAGTTTGCGGGACTCTACTGTATTCTCAAAGAATATATGAATGAAGATCATTATTGTCTATTGTCTTTGCAGCTGTTTGCGTGAGTTTCAAAGAAACTAGCAATAAATGATAATGTGCCCAGATCTAGTCTCTTAAATAAAGTTGTAAATAAATAAATAAATAAATATTTCTTTATTGTCACATAACATTTTTTTACATAGCATAGCTAAAAAACAGGTGACATTGTCAAATTATGTAATGATAACATTAAA